TAATAATAATAATAATAATAATAATAATAATAATAATAATAATAATAATAATAATAATAATAATAATAATAATAATAATGGTGAAGCCATACCATTGTCCTGCCTGTGACATCAAATAAGTATGTAAGTGTCTGCTAATACCATAGTCACCTTTTTAACATTGATTCTGGAATATACGCAATTACCTAAATAAAACAGTGATTTCCTTTAACAGAAGCAGTTAAATGGCTAACAAAAGGCAGCATTTAGCAACCCCGTATTAAATTTGGCTTGTTACATGAATTACAAATCATATTATTTAATTTTTATCCCGCCTTTTTAAATACACCTCAAGGCAGCCAACATACAAATACTTCTGCCTCCCATATTCCTCACAACTCTGTGAGGTGGTTGGACTGAGAAAGAATCACTGACTCAAATTCACCCAATCAGTCTGGCCTATGAAGTCAGGCGGGTCTCCAACAGAAAGGGTGCTCAAGATTCATCAAGCCTGTAGGTTGCCCCAACAACATACTGTGCTGTGCTTAGAATGCTGTCATTTCATATTCTTACATGAGACATAATTTTTAAAGGATTTTACGCTAAAAAAGGGCGAGAAGCCTCATAAAAATAAAAAATACTAAAGAAAAAACTCCCTCCTCGTTGTACAATTTAAGTCAATTTATTCAAAATAATAAGATTAATAAGAAAAACTAAGCAAGGCTATGACTTCACATTTCTATATATTCCTCTAAAAAGGAATCTGAAGGAGGTGGGTGGTTAAGAAATAGGAAATATATAAAAATAAGTTGTTCACATATAGATATACATGAATTATTCAGAGCATGCACATTTAATAGAAAATGGATGTTTGGGTAAACTCAATTCCTTCCTGATCACATCAGCACACAGCATGCCAACACTGATGCATATCAAGACTTGACCTCGGATCTCCTAGCAATATGAGCTGAAGCCAGTTCAAAAAATGGACCTAATCCCCAGCTCCAACAGGAGATCCTAGGGATACCATTGGTGCTGACATTAAAGTTGCTTCAAGATCCAGGAGAACAACAGCCCCATGCTCTTCCCAGCTACCTTCCAGTATAGTCACCTGCCGAGATGACAAAGCAATTTCAGTGCCAAATCCCGGCTGAAAGCCTAATTGAAATAGGTCACAACTAGTTTTTCATACATAGCAATCACAATAGCACTTAGATTTATATACAGCTTCATGGTGTTGTACAGCACTCTCTAAATGGTTTACAGAGTCAGCATATTGACCCCAACAATCTGAGTCCTCATTTTACTGAACTTGGAAGGATGGGAAGCTAAGTCAATCTTGAGCCAGCTGGGATCTAACTCCTGGCAGTGGGCAGAGTTAGCCTACAATGCTGTATTCTAACCACTGTGCCACCAGAACGGTATGAGCTTGGGTTGTATAGGATCAGGAGAATACTTCATAAGTATCCCCAGTTACAAGTCTGTGGGATGTATGTAGCCTACATATTGCAAAACATTTGAACACCATTAGATGGCAGCAAAGACAAAGTCCTTGTTGCCATCTGGATTTTTGCAGATGAGAAATGGTAGTCTTACCATGTGCATAGCTACAACAAATGGTAGTCTTACCATGTGCATAGCTACAACATTATTCTAATTAGAAGAGAGGAACTTTTCTTAAAGTGACCAGATGAGTTTATTGTTATAGTCAGAACTGCTGATTGCAGCTTCCATCTTCTATCTCACATGCCTAATCACTAAATGACCAAGTCATCTCTCAATACATCACATATTGATTGTTCTCAGAACCATGCAGGCCAAGATGAACAGCCTTTTATATAATCAGTTCTTTCTATTTTCCATCTGAGGACAGAATGTCCTGTTCTAGCCAATTGTCAATCTCTATGCAGGAGAATGTGGGTCACATTCCATCTCACCACCACTGTCCCAGGAGCATTGTGGATAACAAATCGTTTATTCAGTCTTCTGATGACATCTCTGGCTTATAGAACAAGTGTCACTAGGAGATTCGCCAGCCCATATATTCTAAGGAATCCCCGAATAGGCTTTCATTAATCTCTTCTTTATTTATTTATCTATCCACATGCTCACTCTTATATACACCCAGCATTTAAGAATATAGACAGTAACATACGCAAATCTAAAGTAGTTGATCTAGTCTTTTGCTCATAGTATTGAAAACAGTAGTAGTAGTAGTGAAATTTTAATGCCCAATTTTATTTTCTCAATTGACTCCATCAAGCAAGCTAGAAAACGAGAAAGGTGAAATAAAAAGATCTTAAATATTAATTTTCTCCTACATGATGTCCTCCAGAGTTCCTCCAGCTTTTTTTTCTTTTTTTTAGGGGACACCATTCTTTTCTCAGAAGGGCAATGCCTCCAACAACTTTATTCTGGGCTATAATTTTCATCTTCCCCAGCCAGCATGGTTATCAGTGTAACACATCAAAGTATTGGTGGGGAGGCATTAGGTTGAAGAAAGTTGTTCTATGCTAATTCTTAGGTGGCAAGAACTGTACCGTCCATGAAAAGAGGGGGGGGGGGTATTAACATAGGAATGTTAACATGGGAAGTATGGGAAGAACCTCATATTTTGCAAAGCTGAATAAACTTTGACAACTAAGTACATGAGAAGCATGACCTTAATCTGCCCAGAGTCACCTTATTGGTGAGACAGGTGACATATAAATTTAATGAATAAATAAATAAATTTCATCCTATCAAATGAGAACTCAACAAGATTGCTGAAAGTAGAATACAGCTTTAGACATTGACTTAATTAGAGACTTACAGGAAGTGGGTAGACTCTCAATGGAAGGAATTAAAGACGAACATTACTTAGAATGAATGATAGGTAAGGAAGAAGAGCAAATATATGTCACAATTGGGATTTTTAGTAAAAGGTGAAAGGATACTAGAACAGGTCAAGGTATAAATAGGCATTCTTTAATTTTGTCCCTGGCTATTTTAAGATATTAGCGCAGCAGGCTGATCCAGAACTGGTCGGTTGAATCCTGGGTATTTCAATCTATTGTATTATTTTCTTTGCCCAGCCAGGAGAAAGCCTTCAACCAAACTGGAAGTGTTG